GTTCGTTGTAGGCCAGTCTAGTGAATACAGTGCGATAATGCTCCATCACCCGCACCAACGCACTAGTTTATCGCCGCTTTTCGCATTGACCCTCCTGGAACGTGGTAGGCCTCCAATGCCGAGGCCAGTCGTGCGGGCTGGGTGGCCTGGGACTGAGGAAGCCTAGCTCTTGGCTCATTCTTAGGCAGGACTGCAAACGAGAAGGGCTCCTTTTAAGTAAAGGAAACAAGTGATGATATTCACCTCCACTCGTCTCCTTTTATTTCTCTCATGAACCCCCATTCTTTTACGTTTTCCTTGGACAATTTTAGGCAAAACACTGTCAAGCAACAATAGTTCGTTTTCACTCGAATCCGCCATGGTGTCAAATGCCTGGCCAGTCGCAAGCGCGATTTGCAATCTTTCTACTAGTACACCTCAACGACAAGCAAGCGCTTTCTTCACATGCGCTCGCTTTATCGCAATCGCTATATCGTGAGCAAATGTTCTTTTTGTGCTCACCCAGAAAGAAATAACTTTTGATTTTTTACGCTTTCCAAGCGTCGCTTGAAATCTCAGGCGCGTTAAAGCGAGCGTGATTTTTGTTGGGTACAAGCAAATTTTGAGCAACATTTCAAGCGCTTGTCCCAACGTGCTCGCTTTTATCGCAAGCAAGTGTTCTATTTGTGCTCACAAGGCCGCCATCCGGGCAAAAATTCAAAAATTCTTTTTTTTTAAAATGCGTTTCACACCTGTCAAAGCTAGATATTCCTTTCACCTTCTTTGATTCCCAATATATTTGCCGCGTATCTCCGCTGGAGCACATTAAGGTACTCAAGATCTGAAGGGCAGGAAAAAGTACTTGGCCAGCGCTACTTCCTCTGTGTCTGCTGCCCCGGAAAAGCTGCATAACATACTTCTTTAAGATCTTAGTATTATTTTTGGTAAGATTTGTACGGCACTTGCAACTCCAATAAGTCATACAGGTTCCGAATATTAGAGGTGTTAGTAGAGAGTAACACGCAAAGAAAAGAAGGTGGAGAGATAAGGACGATAGATATTTGATAGGAAAGAAGAAGCAAACCACACCAGAGCACCCGCTTTTTAAATACCATCAGCTAAGACGCAAAAGGCCATATATATATGTGATAGATCCAAATACTTGTGATATCCTATTCGGTAGTTTCCAGGAAGAACACCAGGCCGTTGCACCACAACTGTTGGGACACGCTGTATATTATAGCACTACGATCTACAAGTTCATGAAATAATACATCAAGGCAGAGACCGGGGAACATGGAGGTCTGGTGTGGCATGAGTGGGGCATCAGGGAATGACCACAGACATGGTGACAGGGGAC